GACCCGGCTCTTTTTTCGAATAGCTACACGCAAACGACGCATAACACTCAAATAATGTTCCAAGTTGACATTTTGGCCGGTCGTAAGGAATTCGGAGTGAATCACATCGAAGAAAACTGCCAAATTTATCTTGGTTGTTGACCTGCTTTGACGCGTTTTTTTCGACTTCGACTCACTTTTGTCATGATAATTGGGCGATTAATCGTCTGTTTCTGGTCCGTAAACATAGATCTGAGGGTCATCGCCAGTAATAATGTATTTCATGATATCCTGGCTGTGGGAAAGCATTGTTCCACAGACGTTAACGCGACGCGTTTTTTTCCAAAAATTTTATTTCTTAGGCCCAAACGATCTTTCAAAATGATTTTCACTGATCCTTCCAATATTCCAACGATGCCAGTAAGAGCTCTGACTGTTAATCTATTAGTCTATTCTTAAGCACCAATTCTTTTATTTGAAGGCGTGTTGATCATTAGTGGATGCTGATAATCGTCCTGGACGTGGTTCGACGTCAACGCGTTCTTGACCCTCTTTAAATAGTTTGTACCAATCAAAAGCACTTGCTCGCAAAAAGCAATTACCGAAAGCCTTTGCCAACATTCTGAACATTTTGGCACCAGAAATTTGATTCCGCTCACACAAATTATTGAAACTTCTTTATAGAATAATTTTACTGATCGTAAAAAACGACTTTTTACCGGACATAAAAAGTGACGCGCTGCAAAAAGGTTTCACTCAGAACAAGATAGATACTTGGCAAAGTAAAATAACAGTAAAGTGTTTTATGTTAATTGGGAAAAGTCAACAGAAAGAAGAAGAGCAAATTCGAAATAAGCATAAAAGTACCATGAAGTCTGGAAAATAAAACTGAAATGCTGTTTTTCGAGTCGGTGACCGGGCTAGACCGAACGACCAGAAATTTTCACACGACCTTGTTAGAAATAATTGTCAGGTGTTGAAATAATTTCGATTGCCAAGGCTTTTTAATGTGTTAATCCCTTCTTTTTTTTTTTAATCGCAATCACTGCCTGGGTTCATCTAATGAAATAATAATTTTTCTTTGGCCTTAAGATTTAATACAATTTTAGGCCGAAATACATATCTTCCTCACCCTCATTTTTTTCGTAGAGACATTTTCAAAAAAATGTGATTTTAATTAAAGAAGTTCTGTAGTCAACGCGAAGACACCTTTTTTCATAATGGTCGAATTTTGTTTTTATTTCTTTAGAAAATTTCTCAAAATCTTTGTGAAATATGTGTGTACATATATACCTTTAGAACAATAAAAAGTTTGAATAAAATATTTAATTTTTTAAATGAAAACAAACATTTTTGAAAGAGGCAGTTTTTTTGTTTGAGGAAACCCAGGCAAGCATTTAATAATCTCTTTTCACTAAATAGTTTTATTTATTTATATTAGTTACCATCATAACATTGTAAATCGCTGCTACAGTTTTTAATTAGGGGCAGATTTTTTCTCATAATCTGAAGTGCTTATCCTCATGCACAAAGCCATGTACATATGTATGTATGTAAAGAAATACTTTTGAATTCAAATTTTAGGACTTCCCACTATACATGTGTCATAAATGTATTTATATATATCTACATATGTATGGCTCTATGCCCTTGAAATTGTTTTTGACAGATTTCGGCGGAAGGTCAGTAGAAATTAAATATCTGCATTTGGGCATTCTTTTTTTTAACTTTTTCATAATATGGACAGACATTCATGTATGCGTTACCGAATTCAATTATCATTTAAGCATACTTATGCATGTGTTTATGTGATATTATTTCCGCTTTTGTTTTCGGCTAATCACTGATAACTTGCAAAATATAGTTACTACATATATACATGTATGTATGTTTGTATATCCGTAAATAAATTCATATATGTTCATATGTACATATACATATATACATATATTACAATCACATGTATATTTATGTATGTTTGTATGCCTTTCATATGAAATTCTACGAATTTAATCCTTCGGCTGTATGAAAACATTCCAAAGATTCATAAATTCACACCGATCCACTGCACATAACCGCGCATACAAATTCACATACATACATACATACATAAGTACTTCCATACATATGTAAGTGTGTACATGCATACATAGATACAAGTGCATGCGTACACAAAGCCATCGATGTTGGCGGCCAGCAATAAAGTGATTTTCAGCGTGTTGATTTTTGTTGTTTTAGTCATTATTAACATCCTTGTTTCGTATGCCCATGTTGTAGTTGGAGCTATTTCTGTTAACGTTATACACATATGTATGTACATATGCGTTAGTATTGTCAGAGTACCTGTTGACTGCTGCATCCACATTTTGGATACACAAATACACATCCAAGCAGGTACAACAGTGCGTATGTATGTATGTATGTATGTATGCGCTGCAAGAGCCAAGTGCAGCAAAATTTACAACTGACCCCACCTAAATCCACAAAGCAGGCAGCGATTTCAGGAAGACGGCGGAAAACAAAGACGAAAGAGAATCAAATTCTCGTGGACAAGCAGGCATAAAGATATCGAGTTATCCTCATCCAACATACACATATGGACACACACACACACACAAAAATGTATCTGGTAGAACAAATCACAAATCAGCTGAATGGCTCAAACAACAACAACAACAGATTGTATTGCAACATTTGTAACGTACTTTTTATCAGCAACAACAAAGAAAACTAAACCGAATACTCAAACCCCAAACTCATACTCTCATATGCATGCTTTCTTGCATGCAATCTCTAACGCGCTCAGAGTCAATCTCTCGAATATTTGGCATTTTTATGGGACTACTTCCCCACTGACAATATGTATGTACGTGCCAAGTAAAGGCAGAACTCCTGCGAACATAAGAAAACGTACATAAATGGAAAGAGAAAATATTTTACCGGCTTAGTACTCGTGCTTGCCTTCTTTAGAGAGCAAACAAGGAGAATATGTAAAATAAAAAAACAAGTAGTAATTACGGTTGCCATATCCCATATTTATTTGGCAAAAATTTTGTGCAAAAATTACCAAAAAAAAACAAGTGCTTTGCGATTTAATGAGAACATGAACATTATAAATATCCCCATCCACTCCCAAAATGTTGATCAAAGGATGTTAAAGCTCATTTCCTTATAAAATAATTCCCCGATATTAACTACGATGAATGAAGCATTCCCCTCGTTTTCAGAAGGTATATAAACTATTTAATTAAGATAATCAAATTTTAGCAGCTAACTGTTTCAACTTGGATAAATACACAAGAATCTAGCACTTAATATCCACTATGTATTCAAAGGATAGTGAAGCTTATATTCTAGTCTCTCATGTCTCCCTATTTGGGTTGCCCAGGTTGATATGATATTTTAAAAAAGTATATAATATACTGAAATTCGAGGTCAGGAAAACTATGGTATTTAATTAAGAGAATCAAATTTTGATGGAAAGGTGTTTGAATACCCTTGAATATACCAAAAATTTGGCCTTCAACGACTTAAATATATGTATCTTTTTAATAAACATAAACTATTATATAAACATGACATTCTATGAAGCCCAGAAAATGTTTCGAACTAAGTTTACAGTTGAAAATTGCTACTATTTCCTTATGTTGGACTAAAGCTAAGTGACCGAGCCATCTTTGTTGTTGGCCAAAACCAATTTCCTTATATTCCACATAAACCAAGTGACTAAGCCAACTTTTTTGTTGACCAAAACCAAAGTTCTAGAAACAGGTTTAGCTTACAAACGATCCCCACACAGCATACTAAGTTAAGACTCCAAAGGCCTTTCTATAATGAAGAGGCTGTGTAATGCATTCTTAAACATCCAGTGACGAAGGAAGGGGAAAATAGGAGACAATTCCTACAGTGACAGGAGTTTTAAATTTTCTAAAGTGTATTTTTTCCATGAATTCAGTACATCTCCCTGGGGACTGGTCTTCTCTATGCATTGTACATGTTCTTTAGCTTTTGTCAACTGATATTTTTTTCGAATTTTATGACTTTACAAGATATAAGAAGGAAGTATCTTGCTCAAGCTAAGGCGCTATTATTTATACAAATTGAGAAATTTATTAAAACTAAAATGATTGATTAAATCAGTATAAAACGTTATGTACTTATTATATATGATATGATATATAGCTTCTATGATATATAGATAGAAGGCTTGATTAAATGAGTATATATGTATTAGTATTGAGTACATATATTTTATTTTCGAATATATTAATCCATTTATTTATGGGGTATTTAAAAAATTTTAGATTTGGTAACTCTCCAAAACTCTAGACTCGCGGTTTACTTTAGTATTGTTGTTTTTGTTTGTTTATTTGTTGGTCATTTCGTTGCCGAGAGCGCACACATTGTTGTTTTTGCCCATGTCGCCTGGCCCATATGATCAACAACTGATTGCAGTGCCGTCCGTCAATATTGCTGTTGTTGCGATCGTCAACGTTGACTTCGTTTTCGGGCGCTGCTACCAGCCATTTACTCTCGTTTGTTGTTATCAACGTTAAGAGCAAAAAGGTAGGATATGTAAACAGAGATGGTAGGCAAGAAAGGGATCACAGCTGAGCTGTGCAGCGCTGACAGTGGCAGCAGAATGAAAACGAGAAAAAAATATGAAAAATCACTGCTCAGCTGATGACTTGCAAGGATTGAGTGGAAGGAGAGAAATTGAAATGTACGAAGATGTGTTAAGGAAAAACAGCCATTAACTAATTAACATTGCAAACAACAACACAAAAGTTTTGTTGTTGCCGGTTAGGCGAACAGCTGTAGAACACGCTCTCACACACATGTGCCAATCTATGGATGGCTGCCGAATATATGTTAATGATAAAGCGCACAACGACCGAAGAAGTGCCAAATTTCTGCCGAAGTGGTCGGCAACAACAAATTAATTATTAGCGGCCATTTGTGCAATCCCAAGAATTGTTGAAAAAAGCCCGTGAACCGCCGAAAGCGAAATTAAGTCTTACCTGACAACGAGGTGGCCATTATTGGTCTTTATACGACGATTTTTTCAACTTTATACATTTCAGTATCCAAAATCTGGAATTCACTCACTTTTTCAATTGAACACACAAAAATTAAACTGATATTGTCATTGCACTTGTTCTGCCGTCTTGTGAGATACATAATTATTACTTTTTTGTGCAGATTCGTGTCTTCTTTGTATCAAAATTTGTAAGGAAAAAGAGTGCATCCTTGTTACTCTACAACTGCTGCCTCGACAGACAACCTAGTCGCCCGATCAGCTGACCAGGCCCACTCAGGACACCAGAGGCGTCTTGAAGAAAACTGCATATTTCTTTGGAGCAGCTAGAGTGAGAAAAATACTAGCATGTAAGTTAAAAAGTGCATTCATGCAAGCGAACAAAAGGTACGTCAGCCGCAAAGAGATATCTGTCTGCCTTGGCGCCATATGCTACCACGAGAAATCAAAGCATCCTTTTGCGCCTTTCGCGCAATTTTCTTCACTTTCCTCCGAGTGTTTTGCCATTTCCACTTGTTCGCACCTTTTCAGTAGTGCTTTGTGCTCTATTGATTGTCGATGCTGTTGCACTCGTTCATCTATGAAGAGTTTGAGCAGTTGAGCGCCGCTCTCTTCCAACGCTAACTGACTTCGAGTTAACCGCACAAGATTTGTTCTTGCAACAGGGTAGTTCTTTGTTCTTTCACTCTGGCCTTTCGGCCAAACTCAAGGCATTGTTGTTGCAGTGGTAGCAGCGCTGCAGTTTCTCTGTAATTTGCGTGCAGCATTTTTGAGTGTTTAATGTAAAATAGAGCGCGCGTAAAATTTTGTATAAAAGCCGGTGGTTCGACGATGAGTGGATTAGTTCGAGTTTTTGCTTAGTGCTGTGTGTACTGTGTTATAGTATTGCATAGTGCGCTTGGCCTGTTCACTGAAAAATTGGTTAAGATTGATTTTAGTGGTGTTTATATATATTAATTGCAATATCCAATGCAAGTTTATTTGAACCATATCAACTATAAACAAATACGACGATTCGGGACTAGAAGCAATATTGGATTACATGCTAAACAAAAAATGTTACCAAGTATATGTGGAAAATAATAATAAGTACTTAAAAAACAATACAAATGAAATCCTTTGAAAGTGACGGACATTTTTCCACAAAACGTTAACAAATATCTCTTAATTTGTGTATAAAAAGTGCAAAGAGTACAAAGCCCATTGGCCGGTCAAAAGACTGCAATAAATAGCAAAACGAAATAGTAAAACAAGTGAAATTAACACACTCACAAAAATGCAGCAAAATTTTTAAAAATTTGAAGTGCAAATAATCACAAAGGGAAAAGCAGTAACACGTGAAGGAGTTGAAACTGACGAATTGCTGCTGCCAGATAAATAATACGGAAAATTGTGCTACAACAACTCTCGTGTCCATCATACAAAAAAAAAAAAAAAAACTAACGTCCGACATTACCCTGTCGCAAAATTTTAAAATCTTTTAATTAAACACAATTTCTAAGAAAACTACAAAATGATGTGGGACACAATTGCCGAAGAAACCAACGGAGAAATGGCTATGGAATTTGCAAGGTAAATATCACATCGAAGTGCATTCAAAAAATTTCATAAAGTGCAGTTTGTAGGGCATCAGACTTTGTGCATACCAAGTAATTTCAAAAATTATATTAAAAAGCATGCTATGAACCCGGATGCGGATATAATTTAAAGGAACTAAAAATTTTAAAAAGTGCAAAATAACCAGTGCAATTCTTCATTTGAAAAAAAAAATAAACTAAATTAAATAAAAATAATGCAATGCATTCTTCCTCACTTCATTGCCCAAATCACAAAAATATTCCACGCCACTGTTTTTTCGCTGAGCTCTATCGCTCCATTGCGCTACTCACTCTCACTCTGCGGCGCAAGCCCCAACTCGCTAACAACACCAACAAGCTGACAATGCTGAACTTGAACTCCATTTCAACGGTTCCAACATTTTCTAGATTTTTTTCTTGTTGTTACAATGTGTTTACATTTTCCATGCGCTGCCATAACCAATGTTCGTGATTGCGCTGTGGCGTTTTGCCGGCCAATCAGTTTTGTATGCGGTCATTCTCCCCATTAATAAGCTAAATAAAAGTGAGAGTTCTTTTTGTATGTGCGTTGATGTTGCTGTTGTGTTTTATATTACTTTTTCTCTAACTGTTGCTTTTCATATGAAAGACTCGTAAGTAATAGTATTTCTTTTATTACTTCTTTCGCTTTTGTTTGGCTTTAAGCTGGCACGTACAAATCGCACCGTCGCGTTCGTCATTTCCGTCTTAAACGGGAGCTTACAATTAAATGGAGCGCTGTGATTTGGGGCATGACCACAGCCTCAAATATGTACGTACATATGTATTTATATGCACTAAAGCGCCAGGGTAGGTGTTTTCGCCTTCACTTGGCAGCGCGTTGCGGTACGTTGGCGTCTTGCGGTTTTCTGCTTTTGTTTGGCTTCCTATTTCCGACTTCTTTGCCTTATGCACCTACTTTCCGCTTGACTGCGTCTTCCTAGCAACTTTTTCTGGCATTCACAACTTCCTTATTAAGTTAACGACCTGGCCTAATAATAATATTTCCGCCGTTCGTGTATTTTTTACATGCAGTTTTATTTCTTTCATATATTTACTTTTTTCTTTTATAAACACATATGAGCTCAGTGCTGCACAATATAAAACCGTGGGGGAATTGCAGCAAGTTATATTTTCTTCTTGTCCCTTCGTTCCTTCGTTTATGTCGTGCACGCAGCGTGACTATATTTTTCCTACCCATCTTGTTTGAATTTCTTAGCGAATTACTTGCATTTCGGTGCACGCCGCATTCGGCCTCCGCCTGACGTAATTGTGTTACTATGTTTGACGTGTACGCATACCAACTACTTACTTCCTTATTTCCGCGTTCTTGCGGGTCCGTCATTTAGTCCGTGTAGTAAGTCAAGCACTCAACTAGCATTACTTTTTTTTCTCATTTTCTTAACTGTTATATCAATGGCTAAGTCGGCGACCAGCCAGCCGGCACTGCCGTAACATCTGCGGCTCTGTGCAATTCATAAGAGTGCAATTGTGCTGTCGACCTCTAATTCTTGTTGTGCATTGAATTCCATACGGAGCACACAGCCACATATGTGCTATGTACTTGTAAACAAATGCACCGAAAATATAATATATATATATTTTTTTTTTTTGCTTATACAGTATATATGTATATACGTATGTACATTTGTACTAGCCATTTCGCCTTCCTCCACTTTGTCGATCAATATCAACCGAATGTGCATGTTGACTCGGGACTGATGTGCACTTCTAGTACAGTGAGGGTACAGTACCCCGGCAGCGTAGCTGTGTAACATGCGCTACTTGGGTTTATTGTTGTTGCCTGGAACAACCCTCACTTTGTAAACATATATGTATGTATGTGTTTATAGTATATATTTTGATCGCTTGTGGGTCGCATTTTCCTGTGCATGTACACCACCAACAATACTAGCACCAGCGCTCTAGCACTATCATCAACACCAGCAACAGCAGCCGAGTTCCTCGCTATCATCCTACAATTTGATACCATAAATAAATACATTTACAACTGCGCTTGTGCTAGGCCTATTCAAGTTGAATGAACCCATCACTTGCACATGCATTTACATGCACACACTAGCACAGGCGCACACCTACTTTGTCCATCAGCTGCCTGTGTACGCCTGCGCCGTGCTAGCACGCTGTGCTTGGTAGTTGTCCAATTTGATTCAGTTCCATTTTGTGTATCATTCGATATTGTACGTTTCTATTTGTGCTTAAGAATGGCTCCTGTCTTGTGGGTTTTCAGCTACAGTTCCAAAAACGCTGACTTTCGCACTACGCTCCGTGCGAGAAATATTTATTTTGTGATTTGCTTGTAAATACCTGCCGATTTGTTTTCGTTTTTTGTTTCACTACTTTTCCTTTTATTTTGATTAATTTTTAACATAAATATATCGTTGAATATATTTTTAATATCGAATTTGTTCTTCTGCTTGCATTTTAGCTGTCAAATGCCACACGACTTGAATACAGTTGCAGCCGCTGCCAGCAGCAATGGAGCGACACGTCAACGCCACCCACGGAATATTTTGGACAGCCCGATTAATGATATGGTTGTCGACCATCAACTGTCATTTTATGGCGATGAGGAAAATGTTGAAGAATCAGATCAGCGTTCGAACGTTTTCGATTTGCCACAACAGATGGGTTTGCTGTCACCTGAAGGATCGCCTTGTCGTTTCCAAATATTACAACAACCAAGCGTACCGAAATATAACCAAGACGCTAACGGTCAGAATGGTGGTCGTCAACGCCAGTTATTCGCAAATCGCCTACAGAAGCTACAACATAACAATGCCGCCAATGGTAGTACGCGCACACTGACACCACCGAAAAGTCTGCGCATTTTCCACAGTTTGTCATCTGGCTCGATGGGGTCTTCGTCCATGGAAGAAGATTACATGGATCTTTTTGAAATGGAATCCCTTGGCAGTTCAATGATGCCATCAAATAACATGCCAAAAATCCCCAGCGATCTAGATTCGTTGTTTGTCGGACAAATCAAGAATATATTATCACCTGCCCACCGTACAGTCGAACAGCCACAGTTGTTCGAACAATTGAGAACACCTGAGATGCGCCGTCCACCTGTGCGCCGTTGCTTAAGCATGACTGACAATTGTCTACCCAAGACACCAGAGACGCTGCTTAAACAAGTGCAAGAAATTGCTACAAGCCCCTATGGCGTTAAGCTGTTGACAACGGAACGTAACCAGAATGCCATCAGCGGTTGTTTCAAACGTCCCGATCCACCATCAAAGACCAACTCGCCGGTACTTATTAAGCGTTATCGCATTGAGGCCGAAAAGGAGAATCTCGATGACTCGCTAACAATGTCACTACCAGCACTGCCAGCGCCTCAACCCAAACTCAGCCATCCTCCACCATTGCGCAAGAGCATGTCAATGAATGATGCCGAAATCATGTCGGCGCTTGCACGTTCGGAGAACAAAAATGAACCAGATCTCATCGGCGATTTCAGCAAACCCTATGTACTGCCACTAATGGATGGTCGTCATCGTGATTTGAAATCAATCTCCTGCGACACAATGGCACGCCTGGTACGCGGCGAATTCAACAATGTTGTGGCCAACTATCGCATCATCGATTGTCGTTATCCATACGAATTCGAAGGTGGCCACATACGCGGCGCTCAAAACCTGTACACGCACGAGCAGATACTCGAGGAGTTTCTCACACAACAAAAGACTGAAATGGAACAGCGTAAAGCAACTAATGATCATCGTCGCAATATCATTATATTCCATTGCGAATTTTCATCAGAGCGTGGCCCGAAATTGTCGCGCTTCTTGCGTAGCACCGATCGTGAACGCAATACCAATTGCTATCCGTCACTCGACTACCCCGAGATCTACCTGCTACACAATGGCTACAAAGAATTCTACGAACATCATTCGGAGCTGTGTGACCCGACTGCCTACCGCCCCATGTTGGAGCCAGCGTACAACAGCGCATATCGTCATTTCCGCTCCAAGACAAAGTCCTGGAACGGCGACAGCGGTTTGGGCGGCGCTACAGGACGCCTAAAGAAATCGCGCTCACGGCTAATGCTGTAAGGCGATGCGTACTAGCAGCGACAGCAGCAGTGCAGCAAATGAGTCAAATCACAATACGCTTGTTTAACCAACGCCGCAGCTTCAGTTCAATATGAAAAAAATATATAATTTTTTTATATAGTAGCTGAGCGGCAGGCGGGCGCGCATGCGGTCGACGTTACTTAAAACGTCGCTAAAACGGCAGCAGCAACTGATAAGACTGCGAATTTGACAAGGAGTGCGGTTGGAGGGAGTACAAATTCATGATTGCAGTACAAATTCAAACGACCAGCTTTAACTAACGCTAAACTACAAAAACTACAAAGATAAAAAAATCACCCAAAACAATTGCAACACCAACTTTTCACAGTTGGGCTCCCAACGCCAACACCCAATAGAGTTTTGGGACAGGCACATACACACACTCGCACTCATACTACACAAACACACATGTATATAAACACAGTCATTAGCAAAATCACAACGCACAAACACACCACTTTCATCAAATTTACATTCAATTGGTTTTTGTTGAATTTATTATTCGATTTTTGTGTCCAATTTGGATTTTATTTTATAGAAACGTTTTATGTGTATGTATGTACTACAAAAACACAAAAAAAAAAAAAACCAAGCAAAATATAATTTGCAAGCTCGTTTATGCATAGACTGCATGCGAGTGCTTATGCATGTGTGTGTGTGCGTGTGTATGTATGCGCGTACACTATTGTACATATATATATACATATGTAAGTGTAAGAAAGGACACACTTTCAAGGCTACTAAGTCACTGGGGATCGAGTCAATGCCATGTACCGCTGTATGAGCGCCTGTGTTAGCGCCTCCATGTAAATAATGTGTATGTATGTATTTATATGTATGAGTTAAGCATAACGCAACGTTTATAAAAAAATGCTTAAAATATTTAATTTATTTGCTATGAATAGCTTTAGTTAGCTTAATTTAATTTTTCCTAGTTGTTATATATGTATGTGGAGAGGCGCTACCAAACACAACGCGCGCATATGCACACACAAACGTACGCCGCATAGCTCACCCATTGTAAATTATAAAAATAAATTTTTGTATGCACAAAAGCACCCTTAATTTATTTAGTTACAAAAGTGTAAAGTAAAATACAAATGTAATATATTTTCTTAGTGAAATTCATGCGTAAATAATTCATAGTATATATATATGTATATGTGTATGTTTATTATAGGATTTGCTATGCTAAGCAATCACAAAAACAAACGCAAAAAAATCGAAATTTGTGCATTATTATGTATAATTTGTATGTGTACAGCAAAAGCAATTTAGAAATTTGCAAAAAAAGAAAAAAAAAACAAAAAAATTAAAATGAAGCAGCAACAATGTAAAGCTATTTATTTTTACATGCAAATAATTTGTTTATAAATTGATTTTCTTTATGTTTATTCTCGGTTCATATTTGTTTCGATTTTCACTCTTAATTAACGCATACATATAATACAAAAAGGAAATATTCACAATGTATCAATTCATAACCATGTATATGCATATATATATATACAAAGCATACATATGTACATATGTACACGGATGTACGCACAGAAACGCACGCAACCAACAAGCACAAGCATCTGGGCACAAACACACACATACACACACACTACTTGTGTTCCCGCTGCAGTCAAACAAATTCAACGTAAAGTTAAAAACAATTACGCTTATTTTATGTTATAAGAACCCCTTTTTTATTTTTTTAAAGCAAAGCTTTCTTTTTCATATAAACAACACGAAAAAATCCAAAAAAAAATTAAAAATAATGAAAACAAAAATTAAAAATGCAATACGAAATAATATGTAAAAAAGGAAATATATGAGAAAAATTGATCAACCAAAACTACATGGCTTTAATTAAAACTAAAAAAAAGCAAGAAAAAACGAAAATCAGCAAGAAATTTAATGTACTTTGTCGTCGTTTACATTGTTTGTCCACTTTGAGCAGCGCGAGAAAGCGTGCAAGCAACAAATTGTTGCATACACTTTGGGGGCTTGAAATAAGCGTGATTGTGTCTTGACGACTTCTTCTGCTAGGAAGTGAGCAAAACGCCACACAATAAATCAATTGTATCAAGTAGCCAGAGTCAAAATCAAAAGGTTCCAAGTGTCTGTTATGAGTCGAGTCTTCATGTAATTGCAGACCGCGCAAAATAAATTCTTTTGTATATTTCATAAAAGTTTGTCTTTTGATTTTTGAAAATGTCGAACAAAACTCTTAGTTTTAATGCAAATGTTTGTTATTTTTTGTTAACTACGTATTAATTTTACTTAATTTTTTAGTTTTCTTTTGTAAACTTATTGTAATTTTGTTTGAACGCACTTTCACAAGGCATTTGTAAATTCATGTGCACAGCATGTACACACACACATGCACACATATGTTTATATGTATATCCCTTTGAATTGTTTTAGCGTGGACTTAAATTTTTAACTGTGATTATATTTTAAATGTTATTAGTTTCTTTTATTTTGTTTTGTTTTGTTTCCTTATGCCAATGTACGCGTCTGTATGTATGTATATATTTTTATGACTGCGCATTTTAATTAAAGAAAGGGCAAAAATATATTTAATGCATAACGTAATTTTTTTACTAAATTTCACATAACCTCTAATTTAGTGTTCGAAATTCCTTAGTGTGTTCATAGTTTTAATAAAATATTATTAAACGAACGTAAATTCTTAACTTAAGCAATTTTTGTATGCTTGATGCAAGTGAAATGAGAATGGAAATTTAATACAAATACAAAAAATAAAATTTCGGAATATGAATGGTTTTTAATTCAGTAATATGTTCAGTAATATACAAATTTTCTTGAAAATGTCTGTTTATGAGTACAGGTAAAGCAGCTGAGTTAGGAAAAATTAAGAATCCTTCGTGTTGTGGTCAGATTTACTCGAAGCAGCGTGGAGCATACTTAGAATCGATCGTACGATGGTGAGATATATATATCCATAAGAAGCAAGATTCTACTAAACTGCAGATGCATCGGTGCCCAAACAAGGCCTGCGGCAAATGCATTGTTTGTCAATATTGCCTTGGTCCTAGAATTCTCTCAGCTTTGAAAAAAAAACGAATATTAGAAAGATCGATATCGTGAAACTAGGCACGCCGTCAAAATCCACGAAACTAGAAAAAGGTGTGGTACCTCACCTGCGTTAAATGAATTATTTAAGTTCATTGTGTACCCCATCTAGAGCAGCTTAATGCTCGTCACGATGGAGGTTTTTATAAAAAGAAAAGTTATTAATTAACAATCCGGACAAAAAGCACCACCACCCTCTCCACCGCTGGTCGAATTGTGTAAAAAGTATGTATCACACCCAATCTAGCACCAAATTTTCTCTATGTTAGCACAAAAGTCGTAAACGGAACAGTAAGTTCCAAGCATGAAGCGAAGAAAAAACGAGCTTTATTATTTAATACGGCGCCTTTCTGCTTCGGCGAAGCAAGTGAGAAATATAATATAACACACAACCTATCTGCAGACACTAAATTCACTTGAAATATATATAAGTTAAGACTCGAAAGAGTTACAATCAGAGACGGTAGCAGCTACCTCAATCGTTTTCCTAGGTGGTCAAATTAAAACAATTATTTCATATAAGTATGTAATATATATTTATTCATAGATAATTTGGTATAAAAATAGTGTGCAAATAAGATAATTTTTTTATTTATTTTTTTTTTTTTTTTGGAAAGCGTGAAATTTCATTTCCAAAGTCGTAATATTTTCGTATTGTGGCAACTACGCTAATTAAAATTAATTTATTAATCGTCGATTTGATTTGACAAGTATACTATTTTTGTTATTTGCAACTATTTAAAACAATATTTTGATAAAAAATAAAATAAAAAATAGTGAACCTTCTTGTTATGATAGAATTTTGTGAATATCCTACGCGAATTACAAAGGAAAAGTAAGCAACAATTTTGCAATCAAACATTTCATCTTTATTACAATATTTTTTGATTTTATCTCTTAATTTTGAGTTCAAATATCAAATAGTTCACAATCTGCTTGTCCCACAGGCATATGCGTTACATAAGTAACGTTTTTGTAAATTTTTACGATTTCCTTTCTTACACAATAATTTTTGTATCCGCCAGAACATAACCTAACAAACGCAAGGCTATTTGAGTTAACATAATTTAGCAACGAGTGCTTTGATATCTACAGACGAACTTGACAAAGGCAAGAACAGTACTGTCTGATCGCGATAACTAGTAGTTACACCAGCGACCAAAAAAGGCGAGCGAAAGGAGAAAGGTGTGTTGATGGCAGCCACTAGAAGAGCTGTGATTGAGAATCAGTAGTTTTTCAACGAAATATGCTAATAGAAAATCCAGCAGCGGACCTGCTGTACCTCAACAGGTTCCCCAAAACTATTTGGAGAATATTTTATGTCGCGGAAATAAAAACAATATTGACCAAAACCTGAAGTCTTACTACACTGCACCATAGCAAAATGTAGATGTAAAGGACATTGAGAGTTTGTATTGACATCTTCCTAGTTCTACTAGCGATATATGAATTCGCACATGAATATTAAACCATAAGTTCGACTGTTACCATTGTCAACCGGTTTAGCAAAGATAATACATAGGATTAAGATCTGCACGAAAGACTTCAGCACTAATCTGAAATCTCTCTATAACACAGAGCTATGAAGTGACGACGGTTTCGGAACGTGTATGCCAATATAGTTACAGAAAGCGGGACTTTCGTAACAGGGAATGCTAACAAAAAGTCAAAAACACCGAAAAGCAACGCACGCACATCTTTTGCAAAATAGCTGAGTGGACGAGGACTCACGAGTGTTAAACCTTAAGCAACCACAGTAGGTTAGGTCAGTAACGCTCCCTTCTGTGTTGCTGGCGTAAGACGGTAATGGGTTAGATCAGCGGCGCTCTCTTCGGCGTTGCTCTGACAAGAAGGAATGGGGCCCTTAAAAACGGAAGACTTTTAGCAAGCGTGTACTCCATTTTGGATTGTGTAGACAAGATTGCCATACATAATATTAATTACTGTTATAGTTGCCAGGGCTAGTAGAGTAGCCCTATTATATAATATACCACACATAATAGGTGTACAAATTGCATTTGTTTGCTTTTTTTTAGCGAACTTCATTAGTGAAATAATATATAAATTTTCAGTAGTTGAAATTTCATTGAATTTCATATTTAGTGTAACATAAGAATTTGTGGAGATGCAAAATTTATTTCCGAAAAGTTTGATAATCTTTAGTTGCATGCAATATTCTTAAAAATATTACATTGGGTAAATGGTATAAAAAATGAAATGAAAGAAAAAGCATGGCCGTGAAGTGCTTTTCTTTCAGGGGAGGGATAACTGTACTACCCCTTAATATATATTTGTTCATTTAAAATTTTTTAGGCATGATAAAAATGCCACACCGCCAAATGTATGTAGCTAAGGAAAATTTTTTTCGAAATAAAAATATTCAAAGGATGCATATCAAAAGTGACCAAGGGCTCCACAATGTGTATTATATAAGGATTGATATAAAAGAGTCTTAAACTCGTATTGGAGCCGCCACGTTCGTTGCGTCATGGTTAACAAAATATTATAAAAAAAAAAAAAGTGGGTGTAATGTATAAATGTATAATATTGAAGGAAATATCGCTATAATCAAAGTAGAAGGATTTATAACAATTATGCGGGGTTGCAACTGATTTGGAAACATTTTTTATCTGTTTCTATAAGATAGAGGCAGTATACTCGTATTACATATTCTATTTCTCGAGGCGAGTGTTCATAATAGTGGGAGGTAAAGCAATGTTATAATAAGAATATAGCGCTTCAGCGATAACTGCGCACTTATAGAATTTAAGTCAGCAAATTATTTTTTCGAATTTTGTCCAAAAGACTCTTACATTCAACAACTACTACTTGCTCGTCGATATTCTTCACACGATCAATGGTAATGACAGTTTGCAGTTGAATTTCTTCATTCAAAAATCTTATAAGCTCAGCACTCAAATCTGTTGGCAAGCCTGTACAATTAAAAACAAATTTACTTCAATAATTATAAAAAATAAAGTTTGATTTAAGAACTTACCATCAATTAAACATAAACTTGTTTTGCACGCGCCGGTGACGCTTGCAGGAAAGTGACGTATATCGGCGCTGGTCAAAGTTGCTTCGTTCGTAAAGTCGATATACATCACGGTGTACTCGGATTCGTTAGGTATATCGATTACCTGAGCACGATACCACATTCCTTCAAATTTTGCGATGCAATATTCCTCCAATCTGGAAAATAACGGAATTAATATTGACAGTGAGATCTAAAAGATCAACAAAAATGCACATTTTCTTATACTTACTGCGGCTTATATGGTTTATCAGATATAGTTATAGACTCCAACTGCTTATGCACAATCTGTAGACACTCCAAATCCTCCTGAGCGATACAGCCCAAATAACCGATTTCTAAACAGGAAACATCAATCACAACAGCCTTGAAAGGGGCACAATCCACTTTGAAGTAGTTAATTTCGAAAGGCTGCAGAGAATTTATATTGCATATACCGATTCAAATTTGAAAATTAAAAAATAAATCAACTTACTGCTCTCATCGTCGGATGTTCTACTTCAACGACACTTTCGTTCTTCTTCTCTTCCTTTATGCCATTACGATCTTCTTGTATAGGTTGCTTCTGCTGCACACTTACATGTGAATTCCCTGCGGACGAGCCTGGTTCAAGCGCATAGAATTGGTCATCGTGCGGCTCGTCCACTTTTGGGCTGTCGCCTGCTGAATTTTGTTGTTTAGCATTATTGTCATTAGTTTTAGCATTCTTATTAACAGTATTCTGTCTACCGCGTACAGCATCAGACCAAACTTCAGCGCCTGATTCCTTACAAAACTGCTCAACTTCATCATTTAATGATTTTTCATTTTGCCAACGCAATAGCTCCACACCGGTTTCGACGCGATCATATTTTATTTTGAAGTCTTGGTCCTCGTAACGGGCAAGATGTTTTATCAATTTCTCACTCAACACATAATTGGACACATTGCGCAATTGTACCAAACATGTATACTGTTTAAGCGATATAATTTCATCAGAAATTTCACGCAAATCTTTTAGATTTCGTGTAGCAATTACACCGCGATCAATAAAGAGCACACGAATGTTGGCGGGGTTACGTACAAGTAATACCTCTACACGATGCATAACACCGTTATAAGGTGCCATGGCATAACTATGCAGCTTGGGCATTGCGCCAAGAGGTTTTGCAATCTTGCCAAAAGCATCAACTTTTCGCGCATTCAACATGGAATCATCTTCAACGGACGGATTTACAGCGCGCACATAACAACGGTTTGGTGTCCGAAAGCCGGTCAAAATTACATGACTATTGGACTTGGGTAGGTCTACCGTTGGTACAGTAGCTGTTGTCGTTTTGATCGCTTGCTTTGCATCTTTATCATTAGCATTCTGTGGAGCTCTAATATTTGTTTGTTGTTGTTGTTCATTGGTATCAGAGGATGGTGGATGTCCCATCAAGGTATGATTTTGTTGAGAATTATTTCGAGAATTCTGTGGTTGTTGTTGAGTACGTTGAATGCTATTGGTCGGATTGGCATGCGAAATTTGTTTAACAGTTAATAATGGCGCATTAGCAGGATACACAGCGTCCGTTGACAAGACGGATGTTGGCTGAACCAACTTTCTATAAATATGAAATGAGATACAAAATAAGATTGGAATTTATTACTTCTTCCGTTTACTTCTCATCGATCATCGTGCAATCATCAGAGTACAAGCTTATGGAAATTCACTCTGGTGGCTGAGAGAGTTTCAAAATACACTAATTAAACAGTAACGGGGAGAAGACTCCCACTGCTGGACCCCTGTATATTATCTTGCAAAATGGAGTTTTTATATTGAAAAAATATGGATGATAGCCGACCGCTGATTCAATTTAGTCATGTCCGCCTGGTTGTACCTTTGTACATTCGCAAACTAACCCCTGTTTTTGATATTGATCTCTGAAATTTAGCACACGCCCTTATTGCCCCAATAAACCATACAAACTTTTCGATCAAAATCAAGCTTTGAATGGAAATTTTGTACATGTGAAGGGTATTATTCGGTGCAGAGAAATCTAACGATATTTCTTGTTATTGAAACTTGTTTATATTACTTTTAAGTATCTTGATATTCAATCATAGTTTTCTTGATCGTGTATTATTTATAAATTACATACAGCACTTGCATCAATCACAAAAATACAACCCAACATATAATGGGAAATGAAACTACTATAGTAAACATTTTTTTAAATCGGATTCATACATAAAAAGGGAATACCCTAAATAATATATGCATCTATTAAATTTAAATGGTATGTACATAAATCTCATTACAATTTAAAAACAATTAACAAACACTTACGGCATTGGGAAGCATATATATCTATGACTTTGCCAATCTTTCTTTTGGCAATCCGGTGAGCAGTAAAAATCTCCACATCGTTCACACACACATATTGATGGCTTACGGCAAGCAATACACTCGGCGGTCTGAAAAGTAGTACCGGCGGAATGGTTGACAGCATTTCGCTTTGGGGAGATCTAGGTATAATATGTATGTATAATTAAAAATTTTGCTATATAAAATTCAGTAAAAATCTTTTATAATTACATTCATGTCATGTTTTAATCCGTTGTGTTGGTAATTATTTCGGCCGGCAGCATGTGGGGTCTTATCTGAAGCGGCGTTGTTTATTTGTGCTCTTTTGTTTCTTTTCGCCCTGTAAATACGTTTCTGTAAATTTTCATATGCTTTATTTATTACATTCACAAAAATTACTTAAAATCCATGTTTAACCAATTAAAACAACTAGAATATGTAATGCTTTCTTGAAACCATACAAATTTTTACAGGTAGTCGGCCCGACATAGAGGAATTGTAATAGATCCCGATTTTGTCATGCACGGTTGCATTTGTGTACTATTGTGAATTAATTCACAATTGTTTTAATGCAAAAATTAACTAAATGAGTATTAATTTTAGATATTTTTTTGATATGATTGTAGCAAGCAAGAAAGGTTTTCATATAAAAAGTATAGGTATATGCATATACATTTATATTTAGTAGGCAGCACTACAATCAGGAACAAAAATTGCTTTGATTTCACGATGAATTAAGTAAGGCATCATTTGCTATGTTTTCGCATATTGTGAATGGTTGGAAGAAGAGTTCACAAAGTAATTATTGTGAATGAGTTAAAACTTCACGCACAGCAAGTGTTTGATAAATTTTGTGAAGCGATTTCCGGTCGGTAATTTAAATACGAATATAGAAGTGTTATAGTTTTTTAATTACGGAATTACTAAAATGGAAAAATACTTAACAAAAAAATATAATTCCATGACGGAATTATTCTTCTTCTAGCTATTGAAGCCTTCCGTTTTTTAACTTCTAACTTTTTGACTCAGTTTGTTGGAGGAAACCCCAAATTTTGAAGCCATAGTGTAAAAATAAACTAACTTTACAAATGCTTTAAATTTTATATCATTGCATTATAGCTTTATTGTGATTATCAAAAGCAATAGGCTAATTAAAATTGTATTACTATTTAATGTGCAAATACATAGTTTCTTTACTATATACGTAAATAAATAAATTATTAATTTTTGTATTTAATCACTCAAATTATATAAATTATATATAATATATAACACTAGCCATAATATGTTGCGTTTATCTTAGTTGTTAATTTATAAGCTATCTTAAAATACAAACAATGGAACATTTGCAAACCTATTGCAATTTCTAATTGACACAAGTGTAAATATTTTATAATTATTTACTTATGTATGTATGTACTTATATATAAGAAATATGTGTATGTGCAAAAATAAGTATGTATTAAAAAAAAAAAACTAAATTTTATTAGAACTTTCGATTTCTTTCGCTTTGGCCACAGTAGTAGAAGTTGTGTTGTCTTCAGTGCTCGATTCCGATTCAGAGGGTACTTCCTCAACGCGATCCACCAGTTTGTGGGTACTGGTTTCGGGTAGAGTGAGCGTGAGCAGACCGGCTACTAACACACAGCAACCGCAAATAGTCGTTGGAATATACCAGCCAAGTAAGCCCTACAAAATACATATATAAATAAATAAATATAATTTTAAAAGTAAAACCACTACTTTCACTCACCAGCACATCCACCACGTATGGCGCTGAGATGGAGCCCACATGCGCCCACGTTGAGCATGTGCCTAAAGCAGAATTTCTTATTTCGGTGGGAAATAGCTCGGCAGTATATAGGGTAACAATGGAATATGTAGCGGTAATACCGAAACGACCCAACATAGCAAAGGATATTATCCATACAGCATTGTCTGTGATTCAGCAAAAAATAAACACGATAATTGTAATTTTTTATTTTTATTTGGCAAATGTTTGTTCCTACCGCTGGGCACAGCCAACACCATCAATAAGGCCACTCCGGTTAGCATAAACAGTGACATTGTAGTCGTGCGACGACCCGTGAAACGCAACATTATTACCGGCAACAGATATGAGGGCAGATCCACTATACCGGTAATGCCAACATAAATGAAACGACTCACCGACATATTGGCGGCATTCAGCGCTGCAAAGAAGTATTTGTAGCAAAATATTGCATAGCGATATTGATACGATTTTCTTCACTTACCTGTGACATAGTAACTGAGTGAGGTGACACAAAACATAAAATATGCGGTAAATATGAGACGACGCACCTTCCATGTGCCAAAAAGTTCATGGAATTGTTTGAATGGGCCTTCTCTTAATTTAACCCAAAGTGTTGTCGCTGCCTCAGGCTGTGCCTCCTAGTAAGCGAAACAAGTTTTGTTCAAGTATATTTATATAGGCATAATTTTATGTATATTGACAATGAATAATTAAAACTAAAATATGGATGGAGTCATGTGTAGAAGTTCACGTAGGTGAGGAAAGTTCTCTGATTGCCATTCACTTGCGAGTGGCGTGAAACGATTCTTTTACATATGGCTTAAGCAGCTCACGACTTTCCTCCGGGTAGCCAGAAATCATCAGTTTGAAGACGAGCTAAAGTGAGAAGGTGAAACATGCATCCACAGGGTTGTGCGCTGAGTTTGTGACCCACCACGTAAATACACCCCCATTCAATGAATAGAAGAAAACAGCCTTGAATGAGAAACCCCCTTTTTATACAATATTCTATAAGAGTACAGTTGGTGAGCTTTATCATTGGCCTCGTTAGTTCAGCTTTCTCCAAATTGAATAAGATAAAGACGCAAATGGGTTTGGGCAACCAATTTGCCGCTACCACAAGAACAATAACAACATGTGATGAGTCGTCGTTACGAGTTTTCGATAGAAAAATTCTGCGGAAGATTTATGCTCCTTTGCGCATTTATTTATGCTCGAATATCGCATTCGATGGCATGATAAGCTATACGAGATATACGACGACATTGATATAGTTCGGGGAATTAAGAGACAACGGCTACGCTGGTTAGGTCAAGTCGTCCGAATAGATGGAAATAACTTCAGCTCTGAGAGTATTCAAAGCTGTACCCGCCAGTGGAAACAGAGGATGCAGAGGGCCTCCACGCCGTTATAAAGATTAGGTGGAGAAGGACCTGGCTACACTTGGAAGCTCTTGGTCTGTGGAGTCTACTGAGAATTTTTTTACAAATAGAATAGATATGGTTCAAAAATGGCAGGTAACTTCCCATTTTGTGCATTTCCGAGTCAAATTTGAACAGACAATATGTAAATATACGAGTTTATGAAAATAAGTGAACGAAGTTTACTTCAGAATTAATATGCTAAGTATAACATATTATTAATTTACAATACTATGTGGGTGAATGGACTTCCTTTATAGGTACTTTCACATGAACATATATGTTTTTATATAAATACACATATTGTTCGAAATGTGGTATTTATTACATACAAATGGTATATACATACATATGCACAACTGAATGGTACTTAGGAACAACCAAATAACAACAACAAAATCGCTTTAATATTTAAAAACTTACGGCTTTCTTATCGGTGTTGGCTTCAATGGGCGCTTTCTGAATTTCATAATGGCATTCCTCTTTGAATAAAATTCTGTAGACCTGAGCGTAGCGTTTCTTCGTTATAAGCCAACGTGGCGATTCATTCATCAAACTGAATATAACAACAAAAATTTTGTGCGAGAGTTTTTTATAATTTACAGTAGCGGCAGCAACATAACATAAGAACAACAAAAGCGCAGAGCAATAGCGATAACGGCAGCAGCGGTGTTTGTATTTCCAAAAAGAAAGCAAGCGTTGATGAAATTATGAGAGAAAAACATAAAACAAAATTAATAAAAAAAAAAAAAAAATCGAGAATAATAATTGCAGAGGTCAAAAATCTTATTAAATTTAATTACACTTAATAAAAATCTAGCAAAAATTATCACAACATTAAACAAATTGCCGACTCACTAGCAATTAAAGAAGAGCAAAAGCGCCGGCATTGTGAGCGCCAACTGCACATAGCGCCATTGTGGCACCAGATATGCGATCGCCGCAAGCATGATCAAGCCAATTGGATAGGAGCCCGAAAAGGCGATCGACATCCAGGAGCGATGTCGCAGGCACACGTTCTCCACAACTGCAATATGCGATAAAAGGCCGTTAGAAATAAATAGAAATCAACACACACACATACACACAAAATATATTTACTCATTGCAAAAGCGGGATAGAAGAGCGCCGAGGAGGCCGCACCCAAACCAAAACGGCCCACTAAGAAGAGCTGATACCACGGTGAAAAGGTGCATAATAAGCTCGCCACAATGTAAAGGATAGCGCCTACAGTGAAGGCAGTTTTGCGACCAAATCTACGAAAGAATTTAAATACCGTCATATAAGCGAGTTTCCACAATTGACAATGTGTGTTTACCTATCTGCGAATATGCCAAACGAGAAGGAGCCGAAAAATTTTCCCAACGATATGGCAACCTGCGCTGTGGTACGTTGTATGGCATTCTCACATACCAAATCCCAGTCGGCCACAAATGTGGTCTCGGCATCTGTATACGCGTATTCACCTTCCATTTTGCATGGTATCTCTGCCGGCTTGCCGTTCGCCGTTTGTTGTGTGGTGTAGTGCAGTGCCTCTTCGTAAGTCATAGCCGCCAGTTTCGGATAGTCATACTGCCATATGGTGCAACCATCTGTATTGAGATTACTCTGTGCTATGTTACGCTGTTGCTCCACGGTCCAATTGGTCGACTTCAGATTGCCGACGGCACACCATTGATCTTCGGGTAAGTGGCCCAGTAGTGTGTAGGAAGACACGTGAAAGCCATTGAGTATGTTCGGTGTAACGCAGAGAAAAAAGAGGCTCCTGAAAGAGAATTAAACGCTATTGTTAGTCAATCACAATTTCAACCATCAAAGGGGCTAAATTTAATAAGTATTTATATGTGAAAAAAAGTAAGGCAGAGGATCGGAAATCATTCTAGGGGCGTATATTGTTTACACCGATTTTATTCAGGGTAAACGTTAAACCTAATTTTCGGTTTCTGGAGGCTTTAAAAGTTATGCCTCGATTTTGAGCATTTAAAATTGCGGGTTATGGGAAGTAGGCGTGTGTGTAGAACGGTTTCGTCTATTTGCACAACGTAGCATAAGGTTGTATTATGTTTCGAATCCGGTTGAAATTGATCAAGTCGTTTTTGGGATACAGCATTTCACCTGAAAGTGGGCCTTGCCACGCTCATTTTTCAATTTTATCCTTTGAAATCTTGCTTACAATCTCGTGGTGAGTTATTGTAATTTCAGTGGTGGACGTAACTGTTGGGTTACCGTATGGGTGGGCATGGTTATCGTCTGATTCGCTTCACAATGTATGCAGAGATGCTAGAAATACTTCTTTCCATGACATTTTGTGAAAATGGTCCGATTATATCCATCTGCAATATCAAATTTCTCAACTTCTACTCAAGGTTTTGTTTGCACAGACGGACGGGGCGGGCATTTCAAGTCGTCTCGTCATCGTGATCATTTGTATATATCTAATTCTATATCTATCAATCACAAAATGTCTGGATCATGTAGTAATAAAGCTGTTTGGTAATTTTTTGTCAGATCTCGAAAATTAAAGAATTAAAAATGCATGTGTGTATAGATTAAAACACATATCAGTTCATAAATATTTACATGCAATAATTGCAATACTAAATACAAACAAACATAGATTTACCAATTATTTATTTACGTGCTAATTGAGATTCTTTTTTTAAGATTTGTCTGTGACTTTAATTAGTTAAATGATCGCTTACTTCCTCATTTAGGTTGTTGCATACTTATTTTACAAACATTTATGTATGCACATCTAACGATGATTTAATGTGAATCTGTTCTAAACTGATGTGTAAATATAGGGTGTTTATTTTAGAGGCTTAGAATTTCCATGGCCATGATAGTCATCAACAACTACTGATGATGAACACGTGAAAAAAATAAAGGAATTTCTTAATGGTATCGTTGAAATATTGGAATAACCAGTGAAAATAGACGATAAATCAGCCTAATATTGTGGCAAAGGTGAGTCAAGGCCGGAAAACTACGTCAAAGCAGATGACAAATCAAGTCAATAATGACAGTTCTCTTCGATTATCGAGGTGTAGTGCACTTTGAATTATTATCGACCGGCTAAAATATCAACAAGGAATACTATTTGAGTGTCATGCGTCATTTGCACGAAGCTATTCGTAAAAACAGGGCGGAATTATAGACCGACAACTATCGGGTTTCGCACCACGATAATGTTCCGCAATAATGCATTATACGTGTCGCCACCAGCCTCGAAACCCAGCGCAGAATAGCTCTTGCCAACATTTGCTACTTCAGACTGAATAGGCCATTGAGAAGTAAAGTTCTCTCGCAACGAACAAACAACAAACTCTACAAGTCACTCATCATCACCATCCTACGACACTCCAGCTCTGAAAACATTCGACGCAGTATCCCCCGGGGGAAGCATATTAAGAGGAAGACCTCCACTCCGTTGGAAAGACCAGGTGGAAAAGGGTCTGGGAATTTTCAATTAGCGCCGAACAGCGAAAAGGGAGAAAAACTCACACGCTGTTGTAAACTCGGTTATAACACACATATCTCATACTAAATTCTAGATCACAACAAATAATAATGTGGGTCCACTTACAAATACATATGTATATAAAAGTATGTATGTACCTCAAAATGTGTGTCAGTGGCGCGATTCCATCTTACCTACATTTTATTTAGAGTGCTACAGCTGCTGGCTGCCCTACGACCTACTAAATAAAACGTAAATACGAGTAAAAATAAAACCAACCAACCTTGAAGAAATGAAAGCAAATCAGCGCTGATGATTAAATTAGTATTAATATTCTAGAGCTTGATACTGTACGCAGATAAACGCAGTCGATTTGAGAACTTGAAAATTAGTTGTAACCAGAGGTTATCCGGATTCGCCTAACTTTGAGATTAATTAAGCTAGTAAATCTGTACAATCATCAACAAAGACTGCAGCAACAACAGCTACAGCGATTGAAGGTGTATTTCGTAGAAACATATCATGTATGAATACCGTGCGCACGCACTTCGTCAATTGCGGTCGGATATTTCCCAATCAGTCTAACTACAAAAACGGCACAAAAGTAGAATTTTTGATATATTTACAAGAATATACATACATACACACGCACGTTCTTAAAACGCAGCTTGATATCTAAATAATGCTGTGCTTGATTAAATGCGTAAACAAATTATTCAATATTCGTGGTTGGTCGTGGTCATCTGCGCGATCGGAATGCAAATTGTTGTGTATCATAATATGCGTACATAAAAAATCATAAATCGGATATAAAAATCGTAACCTCGTCACGGCACACGTGACTCATGAAATTTATATTGTTTGGATATGTATGTACATATGTATGTATTGAGCTCTGTCTGAAGTGCCGCTAGCTTCAGTGAACTCGCAGACTTAAACGGCTACAAGCAACCGCAACGGCGTCCGGACGCTTTTTAGGCTTATATAAAATTCATAAATGTAAATTTATGCACATATGGGTAAATAAATATATTTCGTTTTGTGAATAAATAATTATTTCCGAATTTCCAATATGGCAGGTTTTTGCGGAACTATGTATATTGTTGGCTAATTACTAAATAAATGTTTATAATTTAGTAATAAAAATGAAATTTGATTTAACTCTGACATAAACACTTGCTTAGATTAATGTTTATATGTTTATAGTTTACAAATGACGTTAACAGATGAAAGCTTCTTACATAACCAGTAATATGTTAATATTATGAATTTACATATATTATTTTTAGAACCGCAGGTCGTATGAGTGATATTCATGCACTAACGATCGTTATCATGATCATCAAATAAGTCATAAATAATCCTCTGATCGTAAGTGTGGCTCGCTATTGCCTCATGAATAAAATATACAGTTTTCCTCATTTAATAAATTATCTTAAATTGTTATTTAATTTTAGTTGACCACCATTTTTTATTAAAGAAATGAAAGAATATACGTTCACTTTGGTTACAACGCAGCATCATAGCCTTCACAATTAAATTTCCTATATATAAAGAGTATATGTAAGTAGATTTTTATTTTGTATTTTGATCGGTCGATGTGTATTATAAATATGTGTATGCTATAGCGTTCGGATCGGAAAAATTTATTCGGAGATTGGACATATTGCAAATTTGATGAATATTATCGGGTGAACAAGTACCTCTAGTTTCAATAGCCTTTTTTTTTTTTGACAGATCACGCGTGCGTCGTGTCAAGCTGTCAATATTTTTTGACATTTTATTATGGAAATACTTATTCCTGAACAAGGTTTACAAATCGTTCAACTTTATTGCGAAAACTCACGATGTGTTAAAAATGTGTGTTCACTCGCCTCGCTCAACTTAAGGTCAACATAATCAGCCTACTGAGCATACTATACGCAACACGATCACTCATTTTGAGACCCAGCATTTATTATTGGATAATATTCTACCGAATAGATTACGTCCAGCATGCAGTTAAAAAAATATTTTAATAATAATTTTACAAAAATGATGCCTGTGAGAACGTAATCGTTAATGGCCACCATTATCTCGCCATGATAACCGACTATTTGACGCCTGAAATTGAGGCTCGTGATCTCGGTGACATTTGATTTCATCAAGACGGCACCAATTCCCACACATGGCATCAATCAATGGATTTATTGAGAAAACACTTCGAGAAACAGATAACTTCACTTTTTGGACCGCTCAATTGGTCACCAAGATCATGTGATATCACACCGTTAGACTTTTTCGTGTGGGGATATGTAAAATCCAAAGACTATACGGAAAATTCCGGTTCGATTCAGGGCTTGGAGCAGAACATCACGCGTGGCACTCGCCAGTTACCAGTTGAAATGCTCGAACAATTCATGGAAAAGTGGACTCACCGTATGTATTATCTGAGACCTAGCCGCGGTCAGCATTTGAAAGAGATAAGCTTCAAAAAATAAATGTTTTTTCGAATGATAATAAACATTCCCCATTAAAATTGAAGGTTCTGTATTTTTTCTTTTAAAAAGTAGGGAATCTCGAAATGGATCACACTTTCCATGAAAAATCATTCAAATCGATGCAGCCTCTTGACGATAGCGTTCTAAATCTAGGTATTGTAACGAAAAGCTGTTGCGATACATTGTCTTGTTCTGGAGAGATTTTTTCGCAAATAAAAAAAAAAATTTCATCAATAAAAATATTCGTTAAAGCGTTCGTGATGCTTTCAATATTAATTGTGTTCAATATTATCAATATAATATAAAATTCACCTTTGTGAATGTGTCAATATTTTCGTTAGCTTTTTATTATTTGTCACGACTAACTTTATTGTATTTGGTTAACTGTGTAGTTAAAAACATTTTAGGATTATTTTTTTATTACCAAAAATACAAAAATGAATGTGCTCGCAATGTAAATTATAGGCCCGCACATCCATAACCGGATAAATGCGCATGCCACTGAATAACGACACATTTCTTTCAAGTACATACAATACATATGTAAGTGTGTATGAAATTGCTATTGTTCGTCAATATTATTGCTTTGTCTTTGACATTGATCACCAAAACTGTTTTTCTGAAATATAATATTTTCACTTCGTGCTTCGCGGTTGCTCGCGAATTTTTTTGCGGTTTGAAGGTTATGACGGCTATTTTGCCACACAATGCTACCTGTATTGCATTAATTAGGCTTTTTTGTCAACAAATGAATATTGTTGTTAAAGTAAAAAGCGTTTGTTGAGAGTTATTTTAAAGTAGACATTGTTTTGACGCTTCAACGGC